GAATTAAACGTCGTGAATTGATTCCGTCGGTTACGGAATTAAATGCCGTGAATTGATTCCGTATTAACGAGCGCGTCGGTTACAAAATTAAACACCGCGGTTGATGACTCCGAACATTACCCTCGCGCTCGCATATAGATACTCCGCAGCAACCAGAAGGACAGAGAAGTTCTTCACGACTCTTGCACTTCGAGTTCCTCCTCCTTTTTTCCTGAGCTGCCTACGCGCACAGGTGTACAGGATGAGCAGGTGCCTCCGGAACTCCATCCGCTTGAGAACTTGCACGGGTAGGCGGGCGATCAAGTTTTTGGGTATCGCTTCAAACGCGACTGCTCTTGTTCTTCGCGGCTACTGCTGCTGCATCGGTGCCTTCACCAAGATGTCAACGGAGATTGGAGACAAGAAGATGAACGACATCAACGGAGGCAATACTGCCTCAAAATCCAGCGGTGGGACGTTCTCGGGGTATACTTTCATTCTCCCGATTCTATTAGATGTTTCTTTGTTAATACTCTTCGCAATGGCAGCATTGCGTTACTTTGTAAATGTTGATGCTTATTTCATATTAAACATACTCAAGTTGTATATATCTAGCACTGTCACTACATCTACTCATATTGCAAATGTCATGTTTATTGTCTTAATATTTTGGATTAAAATATACCGAATTATGACCAAATTTCCAATAATCCAAAAACTTGACCGGTCTTTTTCGATAGTTGACTTTGCTGCATCACTCAAACCAGATGCTTTCGATGGTTCAAATTATAAAAGATGGAAAGCACATACACTTTTGTGGTTGACGGCGATGCATTGCTTCTTTGTCTCACTGGGCAAACCGAGTGAAGCGCCTCTCTCTCCTGAGGAGGAGGCTAAGTTCGAGGCTTCGGATTGCCTGTTCCGTGGAGCATTGTTTAGTGTACTCGCTGACAAAATAGTGGACGTGTACATGCACATGCCTTCAGGGAAGGACATGTGGGATTCTCTTGAGGCCAAGTTCGGGGTTTCCGACGCCAACAGCGAGCGGTATGTCATGGAGCAGTTCTATGACTACAACATGGTCGATGACCGTTCTGTAGTGGAACAGGCTCATGAAATTCAGATGCTGGCAAAGGAACTTGGGAACAACAACTACGAGTTGCCGGACAAGTTTTACTGATCTTATTGGCTCTTTGGGTGTTGAGGAGAAGGCGAAGGCAAAGGACAACTGAGGCAAAAGGATCGAGGGAGGTTTTAGCACCAATTTGGTGCAGAAGAAGAACCCTCACGCATCCCACAACAACAACAAGAAAGTCAAACCTGACGTCAAATCCAAGGCTACAACCAATTTTAAGAAGAAAGGCAAGGGAAAGGCAAAAGAAGATTGCTTTGTGTGTGGCAAGCCTGGGCATTGGGCCAAGGATTGTCCTGAGCGCAAGGACAAGAAGTTTGCAAACATGGTTATTAGTGAGGGCGGAGGAACATTGGGGTAAGGTAAATTTTTACCTACAGTTCTCTCTGTCTGTCACTCACCTGATTGGTGGGTTGATACTGGTGCTAATATTCATGTGTATGCGGACATTTCCCTGTTTTCTTCTTATTAAGTCGGGAGAGGTTCCTCCTTGTTGATGGGAAATGGATCGCTTGCGGCTGTTCATGGTGTTGGTACAGTCGATCTGAAGTTTATTTCGGGAAAGATCGTGCAGCTGAAGAACGTGTAGCATGTCCCTTCAATAAAGAAGAATCTAGTTAGCGGCTCTCTACTGTGTACAGATGGTTTTAGACTTGTGTTTGAATCCAATAAATGTGTCATATCTAAATATGGAACGTTTATTGGAAAAGGTTATGACAGCGGAGGTTTGTTTCGCTTTTCCTTGGATGATATGTGTAATAAAGTTGTGAACCATGTAAGCGATGATGATGATGAGTCCAATGTGTGGCATTCGCAACTTTGTCATGTGAATTTTGGTTGTATGACATGCTTAGCCAACATGAGTTTAATTCCAAAATTCACTTTAGTCAAAGGCTCTAAGTGACATACTTGAGTTCAATCGAAACAACCTCGCAAGCCTCACAAGGCATCTGAGGCGAGAAATTTGGCACCACTAGAACTTGTTCATTCCGATCTGTGAGAAATGAATGGCGTGTTGACTAAAGGGGGAAAGAAATATTTCATGACACTGATAGAAGATTGCACTAGATTCTGCTATGTGTACCTATTGAAAATAAAGGATGAAGCTTTACATTACTTTAAGATCTATAAGGCTGAGGTAGAAAACCAACTGGAAAGGAAAATCAAACGGTTAAGGTCTGATAGGGGTGGAGAGTATTTTTCCAATGAGTTTACTTCTTTCTGCGAAGAGTATGGAATTATTTATGAGAGGACGCCTCCCTATTCACCCCAGTCAAATGGGGTAGCCGAAAGAAAGAACCGTACTCTAACTGAGATGGTGAATGCCATGTTAGACACTGCAGGACTTTCCAAGGAATGGTGGGGTGAGGCAATATTGACTGCGTGCCATGTCCTGAATATAATTCCTACTAAGCATAAGGAAGTAACACCATTTGAGGAATGGGAAAGGAAAAAATTAAATCTCTCTGACCTGCGCACATGGGGCTGTTTGTCCAAGGTAAATGTACCTATAGCCAAAAAGCGTAAACTTGGACCAAAGACCATAGATTGTGTGTTCCTTGGTTATGCTATCCACAGTGTGGGATATAGGTTCTTAATAGTAAATTCTGGAGTACCCGACATGCGTGTTGGTACAATTACTGAGTCTAGAGATGCCACATTTTTTGAGAATGAATTTCCTATGAAAAATGCACCTAGCACTTCTAGTCAAGAACCTATTTTATCCCCTGAGCACTTTATGCCGATAGAACACATTGATCAAACGCTTGAGGAAAATCCTGAGGACGATAGCATTGTAGCAACTCGAAAGAGTAAGAGACAAAGGACTGCAAAGTCTTTTGGAGATGACTACATTGTATATCTTGTGAATGATACTCCAAGAACTACTGAAGAGGCATATCCATCTCCTAACGCTAGCTATTGGAAGGAAGCGGTACACAGTGAGATGGACTCAATTATGTCTAATGGTACTTGGGAAGTCGTCGAGCATCCATATGGGTGCAAGCCTGTAGGATGCAAATGGGTTTTCCAAAAAAAGCTTAGGCCTGATGGTACAATTGAAAAGTACAAGGCAAGGCTTGTGGCCAAGGGTTATACCCAAAAAGAAGGTGAGGATTTTTTCGACACTTATTCACCGGTTGCTCGCTTGACCACGATTCGAGTACTACTCGCGCTGGCAGCCTCTGATGGTCTACTCGTCCATCAGATGGATGTTAAGACAGCTTTCCTCAATGGAGAGTTGGAGGAGGAGATCTATATGGATCAACCAGATGGGTATGTACTAGAAGGTCAGGAGGGAATGGTGTGAAAGCTGTTGAAGTCCTTGTATGTTCTCAAACAAGCGCCTAAGCAATGACATGAGAAGTTTGACAATACACTTACATCTGCTGGCTTTGTTGTGAACAAAGCTGACAAATGTGTGTACTATCGCTATGGTGGGGGAGTGTAACATACCTGAATTCTAGGATTAAGGAATTTCCATCAAAACTAGTTGAAAGGGAAGTTCTTCAATTTTGTAAACCAAAAATTTCCATTTTAAACCTAGGTGGAGTTGATCCAACTCTTGCATGAATAAAATTTGAGAACAAATTAAAAACTTTTTCATCTTTAACCTAGGACTTGGATGCAACCCAAGTGAAAGCATGCATACTCGCATAAATCATATTTTGACTTGAGTCCTTCATATGCATTTGGATTTTCGATTTGCATTTCATAATAGGTCTCATGAATATGATTGCAATCTAGACAAACAACTAAACCATTAGGGCCTAGTGCTAACTAATGGAAAATAATACATAGAAACCATACACCTTAAAAAAATATCAACATGGCTAATGTCAAGCCTCACAAAACTAATTTGGACATCCATCTGAAGACATGTCATGAACATGAAAGTGAACAAGTAAATTATATCATATAGGGTATATTCTATCTTAATCATCTCTATAAGCATTCTCTTAATTTAATACTAAAGTAAACTTATGCATAAATAGGGAAGGAGCTTATGACATGTGTAAGGTAAACTGTAATTCTAACATATCAACATCACCTCAGGTTAATGAGAGTCCAAATATAACTTTTATAAACATTTACATGCATTTAGGAAAGGGAAACACATATAAGACATAAGTCCTGCGAATTATCTAAAATAATTCATGCAAGATAAATCATGGGAAAATTCATGTAGGCTCTACTCAACACATACAACTCACTGTAATTTTGGTATAATTTAATAACTAAATTTGGTACCTCAAATAAATCAGTCAAACTAATAAAAACTAGATTAACTGTAGTTCTTAATCGGCTAAAACCATACTTTGTCTAAAAGTGCATTTAACTTACATAAAAGTGTATAAGTAAAATAACTTATTCAAATACTAGGTCATTTATCATGAATAAAAATAATTTTTCCAGAATTTATCTTCTCTGTTTAGGTCTCCTAAAAATTCAAACTAGTTTCCAAAGAACCCATATTCCTCTAATTTCTGTGAGTAATCTATCCATAATTTTTTAGTGCAACCAAAGAAAATGGAATCTAGGTATCTTCGTCTACCTTCAGAAAAATCCACACTAAATTATTCTACGCACAAATTAAATAATTGAATTACTAAAGTGGGAGAGAGAAATAATCCTTAAAATCATTCAAACCTTTTGCTCACCCACGTTTCTGCCCAACCCTCTCACCCTAGCTTAGTTTGCCACGACCTGGACCCACTTGGCAGCCACTCTGGCTCGTCCTCACCCTGTGCAAATCTTCCAGCCGGCCAGAGACAGCCGAGAGAGAGAGAGATTGGCGCCGGCTGTGTACGACGCATGGCCTCGACGTGGCAGCGCTGAACCGAGGCTTCACCTCCACCCAGCTGCGTCGCCAATCTTCACCCACCATCCCAGTGCCGATCCAACCGAGGGAGGAAGCTCCAGCTCTCCCTCTCCACCTCTCTTTTGTCGCCGGCCGCCAAGAAGAGGGACATCGCCAACAGTCATCGAGCCCTCTTCATCTCTAACATATACTCGTTCCATTCTCATCTCACCATGACGAACAACTTTGGTTTTGATCCCATTCCATTTCATCTTCTACAGCAGCGGGAACGCCGCCATGTCATGGTCGCTCTAGAGCGCGCTTTGTGCACCGCCGCAGCGACATCATCGCCGTTCCCGCTTATCTGGACCAAGCCGGGCCAAGCTGTCGCGCCAGCGTCTTCGCCTCGACCTCCTCTCCATTTCCCCTCAAGAATCTCGAAGGATGGTGCTACGAGTGTGGAGATCGTCCACCGTCTTCTCCACCTCCGGTCACCGTCGCCGTTGCCGAATCCACCCCCTCCGGTGAGTACCAACCCAATTCCATGCATCAGTAGCATCCCTGGGGCCTCACTAACCTCATGGACACACATGCATGATAGTTCTTGGAGCTGATTGAGCCATCGCCGTTCACCCGGAGGTTCTTGCCGCCGCCGAGCCGTTACACGAGCCGTCGTCATCAACCTAGCTACCCCAGCCATGTCTAGCATCTCGGTGAGCACCTTTCAGCCTATAGAACATACATGCATGCACCCAATTAACCAATACATGATTGTAGAAGCACATGCATCACCACCTGAAAACATCCTCCTTTCGGACTCGCCGCCGGCGTTACTCCGATGTCCACTGACCGACAAAAGTAGAGGAATGGAATCGCAATAACATGATATTCATTTTGTATTTTGGTCGCACCCCCAAACGAGCCATCGTTTGTCGCCGGTGAGCTCGAGATCGAGCTCAGCCATGGCTGTTCTGCCTCTGTGCGTGAGAAAAGAAGTCAGGGACCTTGTTTCGAGAATTTAAACAACTATAAGGTTTAATGTGCAACTTTTCAACTCACTGACATATGAGGCTAGGTCTGCGGGTTGATTCTTAGAAACCTCAGGGATCTTTTTGTATATTGATCTTTCACTGACAGTGGACCCCTTGGAAACAAAAATCTGAAATTATAAAAGAAAAGTACCTAAAACTTGTAAAATCCATATAAAATTAAATATAGCTCATTTTAAGATGATACAAATTTCTGTGAACTCACCAAATTGTGAACTTTAGTGTTATGGAATAAAAACTTGCACTCACAGTACAAATTTAGCCTCTAAAATTTATCCAAGTTAAATCACACATAAAGCATGCACAAACTTATAAAATGCATACAAAATTCATTTCAACTCATTTTGGAGCAAACTCAGTTTCTACAGATCCACCAACTTATGTTCTCCTATAAAGCAAAATGAAATAGTATACATACTATACATGGAATGCCTCTAAAACTATTACCTTTAAAATGACTAATTTTACATAAGCTGAACTTTAGAAGTTTATATAAAATTCATCTTAGATCCTTTTTGAGTAAACCCAAATTCAGTAGAATCATAGGGTTGTGCACTTCAATGTTATAAAATAAAAAGACATACTTAGAGTATAATGAAAACCCCTAAGTATTTAAGTAAGGAATAAGCAACATGGAGCATACCTTAAATTGTAACATTTGTAGAAAATTCATCTATAGTCTAAATGAAGTGAACCAAATTTTCTATAGAACCAGCAAGTAATATACTTCAACCTAGTAGAGTGAATTATAGCACCCTCTTTACAGACCATGGCTCTGAACCTTAATTTGGTAGAATAGGTACTAAACACATAGTAGTGGTTAAACAATACATATGAAAAAGTATATATATGCATGGTAGCTCCAAATAAATCGAAATAAAACTTGTTGAACCAGTGAAGGCATAGATCCATTCCCTTCCACCAAAACTTAGTATCCTTAACTCATATAATAATCTCCAGATTGATATGTTAAGTTTCTAACATAGAACATCCCCTAGCTTATAAAATGTGAAGTAAAGTAATTTGAACACTAAAATTTTATAAACTAAGATTAGATTAGTTAACTAAAATACTCATTTTATACAACACTAGCAAGTTAGAGCAAGTTCTGGACCTAAATCTCCAAAGCCATGTACACATAGGGACTATATGCCTAGAACACGTTAAAACTTGTAAAATATATAAATAATTCATATTAACTCTAAAAATTATGAAACCAAATGTGTTAGTCTTAGAAAACAAATATCTTCACCCCAGAAAACATAAACTTAATAAGAATCACCTTACAACAGCATTTCACAATAGTAACTAAGTAAATCCTACACTATACCGACGAAACTTCTAAAATTCATAACTCCCAAATAAAATGAGATAAAATAGAAATTCTTTCACCTAAATTCATTTTATATAAGTACCTATTCTCTGTGCACAAATCATGCATTTTAGAACATTTTGGATTTTTCGCATATTTCGGTGTTTTATTGCATAACGTGTACTTTGTATAGATGATTGCTTAATCGGTGAAGAAGTGATTTAGGTGCTGACATTTTCCTGATTCAAGGCAAGTCCCACCTCCCTCTCTTTGATCACTTTGAACCTATCTTTTGGAGGTTATTCAAAATGTTTGCAAATCTTGCATGTTGATTGTACACTAATAAATTAAAATTTTGTTAAACTTGTTAGATAAACTCCTATTATTTGCATTATCACCTTAACTCCACATATATCCATATTCCTCATTCCTAACCTTAGGAACCATTATGCTATACCACTTTATATATGAGTTTTGGTGACACTAGGTTACTATAAAGCTTAGCCATGCTTAGAATGGTCTTCCTTGTCATTTTGGGCTCATTTCAAACATGAAAATTGATTTTTAATTAATCTGGACAGAACTTTAATACTTGTGATTTTGATAAATAAAATGGTGGAAAATATGGATTTTAGGTTTGGGCCTCAAGTGGTGCACATATGGTGATTAGTTGTGTACCGATAGGGGGAGAGTGCGCCCAAACCGACCTAAGGACTTCACTCAATGTCAGTTCATTTCGTATACAGTACAACCACATGTGCTAGTATGGGATAGCCCAAGCTTAGTAAATTATTTATGGTTTAGCCTTACATTCTGGTAGGCCGGTGTGTATGAGTTCGGATAACTCAGAGGAACTTCCTATTTACCCCGACGTGGTAGTTTAGGTGACTAAGTCTGTCCAATACAATGGTATTGTGCCACGTGGGTGAGTTCCCGTTGTGTCCGCCACCACGGCGTTAAGTTCAAGGCGTGGGCCCGCCACTTAACGGTTCTAGGTCATATTTCCAGTATGACTAGGATGGAGGAACACGTATCGTGCTGGTGTAAGGCTAAATCATGAATTTTGGAAAAGCTTTGTTGCGGGTAATAAATCGGGTACTTATGTATCGCGTGCCACGCTCTTGCATGATTATTATTTCGCATCATGTGGGTAAAGTGTACAAACTCTGCAGAGTTAAAACTAATCGATTAGCCGTGCTCGCGGTCATGAGCGGCGTGTGGATATGTATTGAGTATAGACTTGTGTTTATTCTCCTAAATGCTGAAATTTACCTTTAAATTGTGATGAGATTTGAGAATGATCTCCTTGCTGCCATGGATGGCAATGAGCTGAATATTTATACATGATTAATGCCTACTTTGATGCCCATATGCTAAGTACTAGCTTGCTGAAATTTTATTTGAAAGCAAATCCGTTTTGAATGTGTTTTATGCAAATAAAACTTGCTTTATGCTAAAAAGAACCATACTATGCCTTCCTTGATTATATACCTTGCAAGTAGGGTGTTAGGCTTGTCTTGGTGCTTGCCAGTATATTATTTCTAATAATGTACTGACTCTTGCAGTTAAATTAACTTTTGCTTGCAGGATTTAGACTTAGTCTTTGAGTGATGCGGGTTATCGACTGCTTCTTCTAGGACTTGAACATAATGGGTAAACCCCTAGTCGGTGTGCTTGTGGATTGGGTAGACAAGCTTCCGCTGTTCTATTATTTATTTGGCCGGTCGGCCAATGTAACTAAAGTAGATGTAGTTTATAATCGCTTTCATCTTATTTGTGTTTGCTATGTATAATCATGCTTGAGATGAAAGTGTGAATCTAGTGCACATCCTGGGAACTAGATTCACATGAGTATGACTTAGGAATATTTGAGATGTTGTAGAACTTTAGCCATTTTTGTCAAGTCTCCTGAATGTGTAACACATCTGGTCGCCGCCTTCGAGTGGTTTGATGGGCACATCTCAGGCTGAAGTTGACTGGCAGGCTAAAGGCCTAGCAATATCTCCAATATTCCTCTCTCGAGGCGTCGTCATTATGCTTGTTTGATGACTTGAATTATTCACTTCATCTCTCAATTATAATGGAAGGTCCAGAGAGCCTACGACAGGGAGAGGGAGTAATCTTGTGTTTATATGTCGATGACATATTGATCTTTGGGACCAGCCACAATGTGATTGAGGAGGTCAAGGACTTTCTGTCCAAAAGCTTTGAAATGAAGGATTTGGGAGTGGCTGATGTTATTCTTAACATTAAACTACTGAGAGGAGATGAGGGTGGGATTACACTTGTGCAATCTCACTATGTGGACAAGGTCTTGAGTCGCTTTGGTTATAGTGACTGCAAGGCAGCTCCTACTCCTTATGATCCTAGTGTGCTATTAAGCAAAAACGGAAGAATAGCAAGGGATCAATTGAGATACTCCCAGATTATTGGTTCATTGATGTACTTAGCTAGTGCAACGAGGCCTGACATCTTATTTGCTGTGAGCAAGTTGAGCCGGTTTGTTTCAAATCCGGGAGACAATCATTGGCATGCTCTTGAAAGAGTAATGCGCTATCTAAAAGGGACAATGAGCTATGGAATTAGCTCCACTGGGTACCCAAAAGTACTGGAGGGCTATAGTGATTCAAACTGGATATCTGATGCTGATGAGATCAAGGCCACAAGTGGGTATGTGTTCACACTTGGAGGGGGCGTTGTTTCCTGGAAGTCTTGCATGCAGACCATCTTAACGAGGTCAACAATGGAAGCAGAACTCACAGCTTTAGATACTGCCACAGTTGAGGCCGAATGGCTTCGTGAGCTCTTGATGGACTTGCCGGTGGTTGAAAAACCGGTACCAGCAATCCTGATGAACTGTGATAATCAAACAATGATTATTAAAGTGAACAGTTCGAAGGACAACATGAAGTCTTCCAGGCATGTTAAAAGAAGACTGAAGTCTGTCAGAAAGCAGAAAAACTCCGGAGTGATAGCATTGGACTATGTCTAGACGGCTAAAAATCTGGCAGATCAGTTTACCAAGGGGCTACCACGTAATGTGATAGACTGTGCATCGAGGGAGATGGGCTTGAGACCCACTTAGAGTTGCACAATGGTGGAAACCTGTCCATTGTGATCGGAGATCCCGTGAATTTGGATGGCGAAATAAACTATTGTGTAACTGAGAGAAGAGACCCTAAAATGGGCTTATCTTCATGATGCACTTCTCTTCTAATCTGTATGGTAGGATGGTATACACCTTAATGTGATTCGAGTGGCTTTCCATAAAGCAGAGATGTTGGCCTACAGAACATCTTAGAAGGAACACACCTATATGAGTCCGATTGCTAGTCACAGTCTATGAGATCTAGGTGATCTCTACATACTCATGAAAAGGCCAGGAGTATGACTTATACGTTTCAAACAGAGGGGATGCAAACGGCAGCCTAGTACCAGTTAAGGGTTTGAGTGAAACCTGAATCGCACAAGACTGACAATTCAAGGCATAGTCCATTGTCCAGTTGTGATCTGGTGTAGCTCTTTTCCTAGGTGGAAGTTCAACTTAACAGTCTCCACCAAAACACTGGTATAACAAAAAGGATCAGAGTCGAGAGCATTTCCTGTGAGCCATGAAATTTGGTGGGGATTGTTACATTAATGGGCTAGGCCCAATTAAATCCTAATAAATTCCATTGGCCCACATTAAGTGCTATGGGTAATAATACCACCTTGGAAATCTAAGTGAAGAGGCCTTAACTTAAATACAGAGCTAGTGGAGAGTCTCTGTTGACCGGTTGAGATGGTGCGCGGACAACCAGGCGGGGCAAGGCGAGGCGAGGCGAGGCAGACAGCTGCTGCTGCTACGCTCTCTCGTTTTGTAACGGACGGTAATAAATAACGGAGAATTGATTTCGTATCAATGAACACGTCGGTTACGGAATTAAACGTCGTGAATTGATTCCGTTGGTTACGGAATTAAACGCCGTGAATTGATTCCGTATTAACGAGCGCGTCGGTTACGAAATTAAACACCGCGGTTGATGACTCCGAACGTTACTCTCGCGCTCGCATATATATACTCCGCAGCGACCAGAAGGACAGAGAAGTTCTTCACGACTCTTGCACTTCGAGTTCCTCCTCCTCTATTCCTGAGCTTCAGAATCCTTCCCCGGTTCTGTTCACCTGCGCGCACAGGTGTACAGGACGAGCAGGTGTCTTCGGAACTCTGTCCGCTTGAGAACTTGCACTGGAAGGCGGGCGATTAAGTTTTTGGGTAGCGCTTCAAGCGCGACTGCTCTTGTTCTTCGCGGCTACTACTGCTGCATCGGCGCCTTCACCAAGATGTCAACGGAGATTGGGACAAGAAGATGAATGACATCAACGGAGGTAATACTGCCTCAAAATCCAGCGGTGGGACGTTCTCGGGGTATACTTTCATTCTCCCGTTTCTATTAGATGTTTCTTTGTTAATACTCTTCGCAATGGCAGCATTGCGTTACTTTGTAAATGTTGATGCTTATTTCATATTAAGCATACTCAAGTTGTATACATCTAGCACTGTCACTAGATCTACTCAGATTGCAAATGTCATGTTTATTGTCTTAATATTTTAGATTAAAATATGCCGAATTATGACCAAATTTCCAACAATCCAAAGTGAAACAAGAATAAGCCAGATCATTTGGTAAATATTAGCCATTGGATTTACTACGAGAAAAAAAAGAGAATGAATCTTAAACCGTTTGATTAGATGGATGGTAAAATAACACATTCAAGAGGTTTCCAGAGACGAAGCTACTACAAGTGGAAAGAAAGAAAAGAAGGAAAAAAACCCTGATCCTTTAACTTAAGATTCATTAGTTAAGATTGAGCTATTTAGGGCATATTCAAGTATGATCATGTCATTAATTTTGTTTCGAGCAATTAGTTGTTAATTAATGTATTTGAAAGAAAATTGCTGCAGAGGCATGTACATTCCTTCCAATAAAGAGGTCATAGTCGCCTGATTAATGATTTTCATACAAATTTTTAAAAAATTAAACTAATTCCTTAAAAACCTACAAAACATATGACGCCACAAAGGACATGCACCAATCAAAAATAAGTGAAGGATAAAATGTAATAGAATGGCAAAGAGATATATAAACACAATGACTCATACCTATTGAAGTTTGCAATAAATATTAAGCCATTTATTGTATCCTAATCCAAATTTTTGCTAAACAACAAGAAACCCTAGAGAAATTTATTGGCACTCTCACGTATCACATTGCAAGATGTGTAGAGTCGCGCAAATGCACGGCATCACATGCTAGTTAACGTTAAGCATATCAGCGGACAACCATGGATGCATAGGTTCAAAAGTTACTCCCTCCGTTTTTTAATAGATGACGTTGTTGACTTTTTCTCACATGTTTGACCATTCGACTTATTCAAAAAATTTACGTAATTATAATTTATTTTGTTATGAGTTGTTTTATCATTCATAGTACTTTAAGTGTGATTTATATCTTATACATTTGCATAAACTTTTGGAATAAGACGAATGTTCAAACATGTGAGAAAAAGTCAACGGCGACATCTATTAAAAAACGGAGGTAGTATATGATATGGCCCACATTTAAGTGGAACCAACATTAACACCATAAGATATAAATGCATAAATAGTGTCGCCCCTTTAGAAAATGATCATAGAATCTCAAGGAGAAAAACTGCATTGGCATTAAACATACTATTATACTGTCATACTGTTCACATGGTAAAATATTTATTTATAAGTGGCAGCACAGAGCACACTAATGAGCACATATGACACAAATAAGATATTGAATCGTAAGAAAACTGATACATATAAGCATTCAACAAGCAAATAAAAGCAGCATACTGGAACGGGTTGGTCTTTTAAGCAATATATAAATCACCCATTTTTGTCCACAACAACTGTAATGCCATCGTTGGAGGATGCTCCAGCAACCTGCTCTTTACCAGAGGAGTGTTCAGCATGGGTAGTGCGTGAATCACCTGAGCATGCTCCGTTTGGGAGCTCTGCCCTGGCCAGCTTCTCTGCCAAGGTCTCCATCCCCATGTAATGCATAAGCAGCCAGACATAGCTCAGGAACTCGACTCCGGTGCCAAGGCTCTTAGCGTGCAAGTACCCCCGGCATCTGGCAGCAGAAAAGCAGAGCATCTCCACCCACACGCCTTCGATCACTCTCCACATCTTCTCCTCGTCATGTAAATTCAGGAGCACTTCAGCTATAGACCAAGCGTCGTCTATGAGCCCTGTTTTATTGGATGGTGCTGGTGTCTTGTCTTCGATGGTTTTCTCCTTGATTGGCTGTTGCACATGCACCTGCACCTCACTGATTATTGTCCCTGCAAGTTCTCCTTCATTCAGTGGTGTACTCTTCTTGTTGAACATGCCCTTCAGTTGGTTGTAGGCATCTGTGAATAAGTTTCGCCTGCTGCCCGCCATTAGCATCTCAGGATTCACAACAAGTAGGTACATCATGTAGTTGGACATTTCTCGGCAATGAACAGCTCTTCCTTGGTGAATAGATTCTTCGCAGAAAGTTGGACTTTCACTTTTGAGATCAGAGGTGCCTTGAAAGCACGTTTTTGTAGCATGTTCACAGTCATGAGATCCACAGATGTGGTAGTAGCAGAAATCGGTGGCGAGATGCCAGAGAAGGACACTCTCATCGAATGCACCCTCTAAGCTCCAGCCTAGTTGCTGAAGGAACACCTCAGATTCAAGAGTCCACTGGCCCCTGTTATCATTGAACTTCCTGTAACAGGAAACATTAGTTATTTCATCGTTCCACCAACGTTTCACATGTCCAAGAACTAAGTTAGTAATGTTGCGCGAGGAGGAACAGGACTTCATTCTCCAACGTTGGTCGAGATAATCCTTGCAACTGAGGAATTCCGCAACACCCATTATCACGGAATGTTTTCTGTTGCGGACAAAGTATCCTAATAGGCTATATTGGGAGACCATGTCATCCATGATATCATATACTGGTAGCTTTCCTTTGGCCTTTGACTTCGCTTGGACATCATGTTTAGCATGATTTACTTTCCCGACCGACTTAGGGCTGTTCATATTAAAACTCGTTTTTTGAACCCTTGCTTGCCCTGAGGTCAAGATTTTCTGTAAGGTAGGTCCGTATAACTCTAGGACAGCAGTACAACAAAGCAAGGTATATGTAACCTTGACATCAGTGTGATTATAAGCTTTTCTGTGACTTTGGTGGAACAGGCCGATGGCTACAAAGGACAAGTACGGAAGTAATCCTCGCAGCATCGAACCGCAAAACCCTTTTAAAGTTTCTTGCTCTTTCTTTCCCTCATCGGTGTCAACATTGGTATTCACATAATTCTGTTGTCTCTTTAGAGCACTAAGAATAATTGGAAACATCTTTTCTTTGGTGTAAAGAAGATCGAAGGTTTCATACAGACTTTTCTGCAACAAAATATACGATTCATCTCCTTCACGTTGTAAGAATGACAAAAGTTTACTAAGCCGATCATCGGAAGAAGGAGATGCAAGGTCAACAAATAGCTCACTGGGCTTAAAGTCGGCAGGAGAGCTTGATTCTTCCCAGCGACCATCCTCCAAACGAGATTCATTTACCTTGTCTATAAAATCTTGAATCGGATCTTTCTTTACTTCTCTGTTTGTCGTCCTCCGAACATTCTTGGGAGAGCTCACTAGACTATTAATGCTTGCACTACTGAGAGCCCAGGGCTTTTCCAAGCACTTGAGAACACCAGGGACGAAGAGCAGGATTGCTGCCTGAAGCAACCTCCTGTCACCACCTGGCCATGATTTACAGAACACATAGATGGCTATGGTGATTTGGGACAGCGATGTGAGGGCGTGCCTTGTCCACAGCTCGTTATCTTCGATGTTATACGCGGTTATGCTGTCCTGTCCAGCAAGGTGTATCAGGAAGATAGGTGCCCACAGCACCTCTAGGATGCTCGTGTTGTGTGCATGGCCATAATCCTGCTTCTTATGTCGATTGAAGAGTGTTGCGAGAGCATATATCGCTAGGGCATCGCTGCTAAGGTATGCAAGCCAGATAATGTATCTCAGGTAGAATTTCATAGGAAACTTACGCCGAGGAGCCATGACGAGGAGGATATACTGAACAAGTAGGCTGCTCAGTGCGAGAATGCGCAGCTGCCACTCATCCCACCATTGGATGGCACTTGAGATACCCATTCTCTCCTTTCTCCTTCCTTTTCTCTCTGTCCGTGTCTATCCGGTATGCAAAATGGGAGTTGCATCCAGCAATAATAGCAATGTCACCATATATTCTCTCCTCCTTCCTCCCTTCCTGTTTGTCCGTGTGTCTGTCTAGTATGCAAAGTAGTGGAGGTTCCATTCAGCAAAAATAACCACATGATAGTGATGTTTAGTATTTTGGTGGCATCAAATGAGTACAGAGAACACTTTGTGTCATTGTATATGATTCATGTGCAGTCCTCTTGTTATAAAATAAAACCAAGTGGCCTGATAATTCATATTTCTCTTGACTTGACCAACTTTTTCGGTGCCTTCGTCTTTAAAAAAATTACCTTTATCTGATTCACATGTGATGGCCAGGCTCAGTCTCATCTTCGCGACATTTTAAAAAGCTAATATATGTGTTAATTGGACCGACAATAGGGCATTGGTTGCCAGCTGCTTCGATTTCAGAGGAACAACGATCCAGCTGTACAATTGTGTAGAATCACAACACGGCATACCACACTCCATTTGAAAATATAAGACCAAGTCATCAATAATGTACAATAATTCGAAAATGCTTTTGAGGATGAATCTAATAAATCAATTTTTCTTCATAAAAATATATTATAATAGAGAGTAATTGATGGTCAAAGTATTATCCTAGCCAAACAGAAATTCACAGTGAATAAAAATACCAGAATGAGATATCTTTCCCGTTATGCTAGCATGGTTTTGAAAAGATTAAATCAGATGAAATCGAATTAAATAAAAAACTAATAAAAACTACAATATCAAAAGAGAGCGAGATTACCCACTACCACTACTGCAGAACTAAAAAACTAATAAAAATTACAATAGCCCCGGTTCCAATAAGAACCAGAAAAAAAACATTTTTAGTCTCGGTTAAAAACTCCATCGGAACTATGTGATCTTTACTCCGGGTTCATCCCTTGATAAGGCCTGTCAGGGGGCCGAGGATATTTAGTCCCGGTTGGTGTCAACAACCGGGAATAAAGATTACCACTTTAGATTTAAATAATCTTTACTCCCATTTGTTATTACCAACCGAGACTAAAATTCAACGCGTAGTATATAATCCCTCACACTTATCCTCTCCTCTGGAATCGCAAATGCTTGCTCCTTATGTTCTTAACTTCCTCCTCCCTTTCCTCCTCTGCCCTCTGTTTCTTATCCTCTCCTTGACTTGCTCTCATCCTCTCCTCTCAAATATTGCAGCAGCTAGGAGTGAGCGCAGCACGGGGACGGAGGCGGTGGCCCGCGCGTGGGGCAGTGGCGGCCGTGTTCGGCGGCAGCCTGGCGCAGCGAAGGGGAGGAGGCGGCAACACGCATGGGGATGATTTTTTGATGTGATATGATCTTTCTGGATGATTTTGTGATTTCAATTTGTGGATGATTTTGTGATGTTAATTTGTGGATGATTTTGTAATATTCGATCTATGAATGTTGGATCTGTGATTTGTGATATGTGATTGTTGGATATGTGAATATTAGAAAAAAGCTCGATCTGTGATTAAAGGTCTGTGAATGTTGGCAAAAGACGATGAAAAAATATGCAAACAGCTAAAAACAATAGAAAAAAAAAGAACTCTACTCCCGGTTGGTAACACCAACTCGGAGTATTTCACCCGGATACGTAGTCCCAGTTACATACCCGGGATTAAAGGGGTTGTGAACCGGGAGTATACATGCATTCTCCAGCAGTGTACTTTCCTTCGTATAAGATGATATTTGTTAGATTAAAAATATTTACGATGACCAAGTACACCCAAACACTCCTGTCTATACTATGGAAATCTACCACGTATAAGGTGGTTTGTGTTGGCAACTTTTTGTGAGAAGTTGACAAGCACGTCGCAGCACCTAAACGCCTTGCAGTGATCCTAGAGTCGCAAACCACCTCAATCTAGCAAAAGCCAAACCAAGATGTGTTTTGATAACTAAACCGGCTAGCGGAGCCAATTCTAGATAACTACCCGTCTCCTTCCAAATTCGGTCGATCCTTTCCTTCTCCGGCCGAATTGATAGAGGGGAAATGATCCTCGGGATCTCCTCTACCTTTTCCCTTTTGGAAACATCGGCTAAATCGGCTTGGAAAGTGTTTGATTCGAGGTCGAATCGGATCGGCTTTTCTCTCTCCGAGCCCGACCTTTCCTTCTCGTCACCGGCCGCCGTGGGCCTTCGCTGTCGCCCTCCAACCCCTTTAAAAGGACCCCCGAGCTCTTCTCTACCCGTCGCCACCCTCGTCTTCGCCTCTCGTCGTCCGTAGCGCCCTAGCGCCGTGTAGCTTCGCGCCGCCGTCGCCGCCGTCGCTCCAGCCGTGCGCCGCCGCCGTTCCGGTCATCGCCATCGCTCGGGAAGACCGCCGTCGTGGTCGCCAAGTCGCCACCGTCCTCGTCCGCCCCTTCGCCGTCGCCGAAGACCGCCGGAGCACCGTCGCCGTCGTCAAGCCGAAGAGCTCCGCCGTTTCAACCTCGTCGCCGTCGCCGTCCGTTGGTCTTCCGCCGCTCCTTTGGTCATCGGTGAGTTCGCCGCGTCGCGCTCTACCCGTTGGTGCCCTCCGTTCGTGCCGAAGCGCCGCCGTTCACCGGTGAGCTTGCGCCGTCCGAGCTGTCGAGCCGCCGACAGCTTGTTTATAATTTTCTTTTGTTTCTTTTGGGACCTGTTGTTCAAAAGCACAAAACTTGTGACCTTGTTTCCAACTGTTTCAACTTATCTTGCAAGCTTGGTTTACTTTATTTACTTACCTTTTTACTTTGATTTTCTAACTTTATTTAAATTAATCCAAAAACTTGTGCTATTAATTGGATAAATGTCTTAACTCCCTCCTTTCATTTGTCCTTAGATGCCGTGCTACAAGCCTGAGTACTTATTTGGTGTTGAAGGATTTGTCCAGGAGTTGCGTACGATGTCCTTTGTCATAGGATTTGGGACTGCCCCTTTTTATGCCCAGATTCCTCATGATCGTCATGAAGAAAAGTGCCGAGTCAAAGTCACCTTGAACAGTAATAGTGAAGATATCCCCTCAGTGATGTTCGAAGCTGGAGGAAGAAACTACATCCACGCATGTCAGGAGGTAGCAAGGATCGCCATAGGAGAGCTCCGCGATCGCTACAGTGATCAGTTGGCCGACACTGAGTGTCGCTACCATCCTCGCCAACCCCAGGGAAGTGACCGTGGCAGCTACCTTGAGACTGAAGGAATTGAGAATGATGCTACCACAAGGCATTTGGTTGAGATGCTGTGGGCTATGGATGAAAGTCATGCGGAGACTGTGTTAGCAGCTCAAGATCGTGAAGACCGGAATCGTGGTAAGATTTGCAAGTTAGATGACAAGGTGGATCGTTTGGAGAAGGAACTAGCTGCGTTGAAGGGAGAAGCACCACCGCAGAAGGCCAGGATTCATCTTACCGCAAGGAAGAGAGCTCTATTTGTCCCTCGCTACCAATTGGCGCCAAAGGTTCGTGTGGTGGAGAAAGAAGTCACCCCAGCTCTAGCGGATCCTCCGGTCATCATCATAAGTGATGATGAAGAAGAAGAATCCAAGCGCACCCATTCCAAGATTGAGTGGGTAGCAACTCAAGATGATGAAGACGAGCCGAACGAGCCTTCAATCGACCTCCGATGCTCGGAAGAACTAGAGTGCCATGTCTAATCGTTGTCTTAGATCGTTGTGTTAGTTTGCTTGTTTTAAGTTTGGTTGTGTGTGTCTCGCATGTGATTTACATCAGGGGTGGGATGTAAGTGCATGTGTTTGTTTGCTTTTGAGTGTTAGGAAGTTGGTGAGTTTAGTGGTGTGAGAGTCTTCAGTTTGTAATAATGAAACTCAGTTAAGATCAATAAAAGTTAAAGTAATTCTCTGTCCTAAGTAGTTTCCCCCGGTTTCTCTTCTGGTGCCCTGTCCATGCCAGATGGTGAACACTCGCAGCAACGGGAATGGCCCCAAAAACAACAATAACAATAACAATGGAGAGAATCCCACACTTGCTCAAGTTCTTGCTCAACAGACTCAGTTAATGAACATGATGATGCAGCAACTTCAGAACCAGCAGAACCAGGGAAATAACCATGCACCTCCTCAGAACAAGTTAGCAGAATTTCTTCGTGTGAGGCCGCCTACTTTCTCTAGCACCACTAATCCTGTTGAAGCTGGTGATTGGCTGCATGCCATAGAAAAGAAGTTGGATTTGCTTCAATGCACTGATCAGGAGAAGGTCTCATTTGCATCACATCAGCTGCATGGCCCTGCCTCTGAATGGTGGGATCACTTCCGCCTGAATAGGACTACTGCTGAACCTATCACTTGGCTTGAATTCACCGCTGCTTTCCGGAAGACGCATATACCATCGGGAGTGGTTTCTCTCAAGAAGAAGGAATTCAGGTCGCTCACTCAGGGATCTCGCTCTGTTATGGAGTATCTGCACGAGTTCAATCGTCTGGCTCGTTATGCTCCGGAAGATGTGCGCAATGATGAAGAGCGCCAGGAGAAGTTCTTGGAAGGACTTAATGATGAGCTTTCTTACCCACTCATGACTGGAGATTATTCTGATTTCCAGAAGTTAGTGGATAAGGCTATTCGTCAGGAAGACAAGTACAATCGCATGGAGCAAAAGAAACGCCGGATTGCTCAATTCAAGACACAACAGGGGAATAATCAGAAGCCGCGTCTTACTTTAGGACCCCAGTCCATGCCACAGGGAGGTTCTTCATCTGTTGTTCGTCCGCAGCGTCATTTCTTCAACAACAATGCTGGCAACAACATCCGCAATCAAGCTCCACGTCCTGTTGCAGCCTCGACACAGCAACAACCTGCCAAGAGGGAGCAAGGCAGCAAGCCCGTGGTGTGTTTCAACTGTGGAGACCCAGGACATTATACTGACAAGTGTCCGAAGCCCCGACGTGTGAAGGCTGTCCCTGCCCAGAGCAACTCTACCGTACCAGCGCCAAAGGCTCGTGTCAATCATGTCGCTGCTGCAGAAGCCCAAGATGCTCCAGATGTGATTTTGGGTACGTTTTTTGTTAACTTAGTTCCTGCAACAGTGCTTTTCGATTCTGGTGCTACACATTCATTCTTATCTATGAGTTTTGCGGGAAAT